GCGCTAAAATCTGAGCAACCCACCGCGCCGGCCAAAACAGCGGCGTTATGATTGATGGTGTTTTTCTGACTCTGCACCGAGAACCGCCGCACCAAGGCAGCGGCAAAACCACCTCACCGGCCTCAAGAGTCGTGCTGGTGACCCGTGGGGCTCCTCCACTGGGAATCTCCTGGTGCATGAGCAACAAAAATTGATCTGAAAGTGTGGCATCCTCTCATTCTCTGTGCTTTCAGTGGGAGCTACAGTCCCGAGCTGCTAGTGATCAGCCATCTTGGATCTCTCTCCTGGACTCTGAGCTTTCTGCCCTGCCATCCTCAGTACTGGCCTCTAGCCTCTGGCTTACCTCATGGTTCAGGGTGGCTGCTGGAGCTCCAGCCATCCTATCTACTCTCCAAACCAGCAACAGAAGGAGGAACAAGGGCGGCACGCGTAGTGAACCTTTCGGCTAAGTCAGTCTCTTTCAAAATTCCACACCTATCCATTTAACATCTCGTTAATCATACGGCCCACACCGTCAGGAAAGGTGTTTTTTAACTGGCTGCCAGGTGCACTGCTGCTCCGAGTACAGTAGGGTTTCTGTTAGTTGGAGGGGAAATGGATATTGGCTGCCAGCAGCCTTGTCAGGCACAGCTTGTGGGGGCGTGTCTGAGACACATGAGCGAGCTCTTTCTTGAGCTGTGGTGCCCAAGCCACTGTCTAAGCAGCATACCCACCCGTGGCCTTCGGAACCTGAAGCCTGTGCCCAGGAGGTTCCCATCTTCCTTCCCCAGGGCTCCTGCCTTCTCTGAGGGTCGGTTTCCCCGGCTTTTCTGTGTCCCTCATGGGGCCAGACTCTGGCCAACTGGGTGCTGCTGTGCCTCTTCCTCCTCCCCTGGAAGGACCAGTTCATATCCTGACAGCCACAGACACAGGCATCCTGGTCTCCAGGGACTGGGCCTTATGTCCTAGGTGTGTGGTGTACACGCATCTCAGTGGGGGAGGGGCGCCTCTGGGTCCCGCCCAGGCGTGGGGTACACGCATCTCAGTGGGGGGAGGAGCGTCTCTGGGTCCTGCCCAGGTGTGTCGGGTACTACACGCATCTCAGTGGGGGGAGGGGCGTCTCTGGGTCCCGCCCAGGTATGTCGGGTACACGCATCTCAGTGGGGGAGGGGCGTCTCTGGGTCCTGCCCAGGTGTGTGGGGTACATGCATCTCAGTGAGGGGATGTCACTGGGTCCTGTGGTTCATGCAGGCGCCGGTCTAGGGAAGAGACAGTCCATGTCCCTGGCAGCTGAATGGGGCCTCGTCTGAGGGACGGGGACAGGCAGCTGACAGGAGCAGGTGCAGCGAGCCTGGGGGCGGCGCTCAGCTGCCAAAAGGCCAGATTGGAGGGAGCGCGGCCGTGGCCAGGCGTCCTGGTGACCTGTTGACACTGTTCCCCGGCTGCAGCTGCCTGCGGGCTGGTGTGTTGTGGCAGAAGTGGGAAGGGCTGGGCCCCGTGGAGAACTTGGCAGAAGCCTCAGACCCGACAGACGGTGCGTTCCTCCACTCATTCATTCACTCCATGTGCTTCCCCAACAGCCTCCCACAGGTTGGTTCATGGGTGCTGGGCATGCAGTGATGGCTGAGGCACCCACCTCCTGCCCCAGGGGGTCAAGGACAAAGGGGCAGGACTCACTAGGGCGCCAGGGGGCCATGTGCTGTGGGGAGGACGAGCTGGGGGAATCCATGCGGGCAGATGACAGGGCAGGCCCAGCCAGCGCCCCTCACGCGGGGCAGGATGCAAAGCTGCCTGGCGGGAGTTGGCCTGGAGTTTCTCGCGGAGAGATTAACAAGTGGACACTGCTGCTGCCACTGGGCAGCCCCTTGTGTAGGAGGCTCTGCTGGCCCCGGGGCTGCCAGGGAGTCTGGGGGACGGGCAGAGTGATGGCGTCTCCAGTACCCGCCGCTGGCGGTGCCCGCTCCGTGCGGAGTCTTACCCCTGCTCCGAGGTGAGTGTAGGGGGTGTCCATGCCCCCGCCAGCCCCAGAAGCAGCACCCCACACTCTCCATTCCTGGCTGTGGGGGTCACGGCTGGCAGAGGGAAACAGGCCAAGGGGCTGGGGCCGGTGGGAGGGTCCTCCTGGGTGCAGGGGCCTTTCCGAGGCCGCCCTTGTAACCTTCTGGGAAGGTGTGAAGCCCCGGGTGCTGCCCTGCACACCCCCTCACTGCACTGGCTCAGCGAGGGGGGTGCCCCAGGCCTGGGCTCTGGAGCCCGAGTGGTGCTGGCAGCCCCGGGTGGGGGATGTTAACGGGCTCACGTCCCCCGCCGCCTTCCTTCCCCCCTCCTCTGAGCTAAACCCGCCTTGGAGTGATGGAAATCAGCGCTGGCTCCGAGGAGTCTGCGGGGCGCCCCGTCCCTGCCAGGCCTGGGCACCGCCTCCCCGCCCACACCCTGCTGCCCTGGGCACCCATCCTCCGCGCAGGGCCCTGTTCCGAGGGCCGAGGGCTACCCCCGGCCCCCCAAGGGAGTGGACTCGGTACAAACGGCTCCCCGGGGAGGAGGGCCGCGGGAAGTGGCATGGCCCGGCCCGCCCCCACCCCCTATTCCCTATAAAAAGCAAAATGGTGACTCAGAGAGGAGAGTTGGACGCGTCCTGCCTCCTGCTCCCTCTGTTAATTTGTACACTCAGAACTCGGCAGACGGCAGAGGAAACGGCAGCTTGAAACGCGCGGCTGCAGCGCTGCTCCGTGGGGACCCACAGCCGAGCCGTCCTCCCCGACGCCAGCAGCCCGCGCTGGGCCGACCCCGCGCAGACCCCGCCAGGCCGGCGTGGATGGTGCGGCCGGGGCCATGGCAGCCGGGGGCCGTCGGCGGCGCCCACTGCGCTACCAGTCCCTGGCGGCCCTGGTGGAGGATTCTCAGTGGCCTTTCTTGTTCCTTGTCTCAGACTTCAGCTACGCCGCGGACGACTACGACGCCGAGGGGCATGAGGAGCAGAAGGGGCCCCCCGAGGGCTCAGAGGCCATGCCCTACATCGACGAGTCGCCCACCATGTCCCCGCAGCTCAGCGCCCGCAGCCAGGCCGGCGGCGACCGCGTCTCCCCGACTCCGCCCGAGGGGCTGGCTCCTGGGGTAGGTACCCCTGCGTTTCCTTCTGGGGGTGGGGGGCCGGCTCTGCTCGGTGGTCTCGAGGGGACGGGGCTGGAGATGCTGGGACCTGTCTGGGGCCCGCTCAGGCTCAGGCTCCCTCCCACCTGCTTTGCCAGCACTGCCCATCTCTCCCCTCTGCCCCATCTGCCCCCCAGGCCTCCGGACCCCTCCCCGCCTCTTGGAGCTTTTCCTTGTCAGCCCCTCCTCAGGAGGACCAGGCTTCCCCCCGCCCCCCGCACCCAGGCTGGGCCCGGGCTGCACACAGGCCTGCGGGCTGCAGGCGTTCGGATGCCGCCACCGCAAAGCCGAGGCTGCGCCGGGCTCTCCCCTGTGGGGCACAAGAGCGGCCCCTCCGGCCGGGTCCGTCCACTCTGGAAGGGAATAAAGCTGGCCGCGTCATTCTCCTTGTTGACGGAGATGAGAGCTGTGCTGGGGAAGGGGTGTGGAGCGTGAGCCTGGTGGGGACACAGCCTGGGGGGTTTGACGTCCTGGCCATTAACGCTGTTCCCGGTGACAGGCCAGGCTGGCCGGGCGCAGCTGTGTGGGCGCGGCTGAGACACGTGAACGAGCAAAACAGATTCCGGGGGGCTGTGCCCGGAACATCCAGGCCGGTCCTGTGGCAGGGGGAGTGGGAGTGCCCAGCCTCGCTTGGTCTGGTCGTCTGGGCGTGTTTCGTGGAGGTCTCTCTGTTCTGCCTTCTGGCTTTCCCAGAGGAGCGATCCCTGAGACGCCATGTGCCACCTCTTCCTCCTGGGGGGGCCGTGCCCCCCACTCCGGCCGAGGTAGCCTGGACGCTCCCGTTCTGAAGAACCCCCTGCCCTTTCCCTTGCCAGCCTCCTTGGCCTCCCTCCACCCCCCTGCAGAGCTCTCACCCCCCTCTTCACACTTGGGGGATGGGGAGGGTGTTATAGCCTTTGGTAACCAGGGCCTTGGCAACGGGCTTCCCACTTGGGGGAAGCCACATTGTTGCCGTGGCAACGGAGGCCGAGGCAGAGCTTAGCACAGCCCAGCAGGGCAGGCTTGGGAAGGGCTGGCGGGGGGTCGGTGGGAGGTCGAGGGGCTGGCGAGGGTGAGGGTCGGCATCGGGACCCCCAGCTGGCATCCTGGAGTGTTGCTGACCTGCAGGGGCAGGTTTTTCACCCTGGCCTCCGGAGGCATCAGGCTCAGGATACAAATAGTACCCAGCGAGGCAGAGCGGGTCTTTGGGGACCTGAACGGAGGCCACCCAGGGGACAGCAAGAAGGAGACTCGCTCCTATCCCTGCCCTCAGCTCCTGACCACAGCAGGGCTCAGGGCCCGGCCTGGGGACTCAGCGCCCACCCACTGTGCGCAGCTGTGGGAAAGTCCTGTGGAAGATGCTGCGGAAACCCGGTGTAGGCAGGGTCTTCACTGCCGCCCGTCCCCGGGATCCCGGTGTGGGGCAGGGTCTTCACCGCCGCCCGTCCCCGGGATCCCGGTGTGGGGCAGGGTCTTCACCGCCGCCCGTCCCCGGGATCCCGGTGTGGGGCAGGGTCTTCGCCGCTGCCTATCCCCGGGCTGGGCCACCTCCCTCTTTGCTCCCAGTCCCCAGTCCCTGTCCTTGTCACGTGACCACCCTGCTGACTCCCCCCTCCCCGCCCCCGTGTGCGTGGATAATTCCTCAGGCCACCAGGTTTCTTCTGTTGGGAGACAGATCACGGGTGTCACGCTCCGAGGCTTCGTAGTCTTTGTGGCTGGTGTTTTGCGTGGTAGCTCACCAGGGACCACCTTGGTGTGAGGACCTTGAAATCCAGAGATGCTGGAGTGACAGCCCCTAAAGTGCTGTAGCTCCCAGGGTTGATGTTTACACCATTGGTTACAAGCCGTGCAAGAAGGGGCAGGAGGGAGCAGCTGTCCAGCCTGGGATCGCCCTGAAAAGATTCTGTCCTGTGCACCTGCCTTCCCTCCTGGGGCAGCGTTTCTGCCCCTTCTGCTGGGTCACTTGCCCCACCTAGTGGACTCTGCTAGTATTGCTATTTACACGGGCGACTGGAGGGAGCTGACCCCAGTTCCTGAGTCATTGGGGATGTTTTGGTTAAAAATACGAATAATACAAGACTGAGGTTTCTGCAGCTTGACTTGCTTATTTGGCCAAGCAGGTCCCCTCCCCTGCCAGGCTTCCTGCCGGGACCTTGGGAACAGCGGGGACTTCTGGACCAAATCAGACAATTGTTCTAGGCATTCAGATATCTGGCTCTTGCACAGCCTGAGCCTTCCCACCCAAGTATGCCGCCAACGGGAAGCTAGAGGTTTAGGCTTTTTCTTTTTCTTTCTTTCTTCTTTTTTTATTTGAGATGGAGTCTTACTCTGTCGCCCAGGCTGGAGTGCAGTGGCGCGATCTCTGCTCACTGCAACCTCCGCCTCCCAGGTTCAAGTGATTCTCCTGCCTCAGCCTCCTGAGTAGGTGGGATTACAGGCACCTGCCACCACAGCCAGCTAATTTTTGTATTTTTAGTAGAGACAGGGTTTCACCATGTTGGCCAGGCTGGTCTTGAATCCCTGACCTCAGGTGATCCACCCGCCTCAGCCTCCCGAAGTGCTGGGATTACAGGCATGAGCCACCTCGCCTGGCCTCCCCAAGGTTGAGTCTTTGTGTTAGTCAGCGTTCTCTAGAGAAACAAGACCAACAGAGTGTGTGTGTGTGTGTGTATTTTTACATACAAAGAAAAAAATTTTTTTTTTAAAGACGGGGTTTCACCATGTTGGTCAGCTGGTCTTGAACTCCTGACCTCAGGTGATCCACCTGCCTTGGCCTCCAAAATGCTTTGATTACAGGCGTGAGCCATCACGTCCAGACGTATGAAGAAATTTTTAAGAAGGAGTTGATTCAGGTGATTATGAAGGCTTAGAAATCCTAATTGCTGCAGTCAGTTGCTGGAGACCCAGGACAGCCAGTCTGAAGTCCCCGTCCAAGTCCAAAGCCCTGAGAACGGGAGAGCCAGTGATATCCATTCCAGCTGGAAGCCAGCACACTCGAGGTGCAGGAAGACCTGGTGTTTCAGTCCTAGTCCAGAGGCTGGAAAAGGCCAGCCCCCAGCTCAGGCTCAAGTGGTCAGGTGGGAGGAGCTCCCGCTTACTCTGCCTTTGTGTTGATTCGGGTGTTCTTCGGACTGGATGAGGCCCACCCACCCTGGGGAGCGTGCTCAGTTTTACTCAGTCCGCCAACACAGATATCAGCCTCATCCCAAATGCTTCACAGATATGTTCAGATTAACATCTGGACAAACATCTGGCAGCTTGCGGCCCAGTCAGGCTGACCTAGAAAACGAACATCACACTCTTACTCCCTGAGCAGCCCAGGGTGGAAAACACGCAAGCTTTGCACAGATGAAAATCCGTGACTCTCAGACTGGGCGAGGTGGCTCGCGCCTGCAATCTCAGCACTTTGGGAGGCTGAGGCGGGCAGATCACCTGAATTCAGGAGTTCGAGACCAGCCTGGCCCACATGGTCTAACCCCGTCTCTACTGAAAATACAAAAATTAGCCGGCCATAGTGGCGGGAGCGTGTCATCCCAGCTACTTGGTAAGCTGAGGCAGGAGAATTGCCTGAACCCGGGAGGCGGAGGCTGCAGTGAGCCGAGATCATGCCATTGCACTCCAGCCTGGTGACAGAGCGAGACTCCATTTCAAAAGGAAAGAAAATCTCCTGCTCCTTAGCTGTGAGACACTGGGCACATGTCCTCACACTGCAGAGCCCCAGTCAGCGCCAGGCCCAGCTTCCCAAAGTACACAGCCCAGGGCCACCAGGGCCCACGAGACTTTTCCCATCAGACTGTAGAGGGCTGGGAGACCAACGCACCGCAAAGACCCCATCTGGTAAATATCAGCTGCACAATGACTGAACCTGCTTTGGCAGTCCATCTCCTTTCTGCCAAGTGTGGTGGCCCCAGGGAAGCCGGGTCTCTGTGGTATTGGCAGGACGCGCACCTCCCCGCCCCCTGCATCACGCCTTCCACAGCCTTGCTCTCCGCCCTTGTCTTGGTCTGTCTCCCCAAGATAGGCATCCTGCAGAGGTGTCAGGATGAAACCTGAAGGCCTGCCCCATGAGCCCTCCCCGAGTCCAGGCTGAGCAGGGCACCATGGCAGGGCCCGGGCCACAGACCTCTGGTGGCTGCATTCAACGGAGAGTGCCCGGTTTCATGCTGAGAAGGAAGGACCAGGACGTGTGTCGGCTGACACGTGGGGATGTAGGGTCCTAAGCCAGGACCCTGGTCTTACAGAAAATGCCACATGCCAGAGAGTCCTCTGTGTCCCCTCTGGGAAGCTCAGTGAAAAGGGGCTGCAAGGCAGAGAGAAGGTCTGGGTTTTGTCCCAGCTCTACGACTGTCTCCCTGTGTGGCCTGAGAGGTGTCCCTCACCCCGCCCTGAGCTGCAGTTTGCCCATCTGTAGAGTGAGGACGCTGAGAATTTCCTCCCGCCTGACCTCACACTGAAACCTCACAGCTGTTGTGGTTTCTGTGAGATGGTGTTTGGCAGAATGCTTTGTCAATGTGAAATTGAAATGGGGGTTAGACTCCGGGGTTCAGGCTTCAGCCTGCAGGAGAATCTGAAGATAAGGGTGGAGGTGAATTGAAATCCTCACCATCGGCCGGGCGCGTGGCTCATGCCTGTCATCCCAGCACTTTGGGAGGCCGAGGCGGGTAGATCATCTGAGGTCAGGAGTTCAAGACCAGCCTGACCAAAATGGTGAAATCCATCTCTACTAAAAATACAAAACAATTTAGCTGGGTGTGGTGGCAGGTGCCTGTAATCCCAGCTACTGGGGAGGCTGAGGCAGGAGAATCGCTGGAACCTGGTGTGAGTGCAGAGGTCGCGGTGAGCTGAGATCGAGCCACTGCACTCCAGCAGCCTGGGGGAGAGTGAGGCTCCATCTCAAAAGAAAAAGGAAAAAAACCCTCACCATCATCCCTTTCATCCCCCTCTTCCTCCACGTCCTCCTCCTCCTCATCACAGCTGCTTAGAGA